CTTCCATCTGCTGACCCATTCTCCAAATGGCCTCAAAGGACAGAGCTGGGCTGATCCAAAGCTGGGAACCTGGAGCCTCTTCCGAGTCTCCCATGTGGGTGCAGAGGCCCAAGTACTTGGACCGTCTTCCACTGCTTACCCAGGCACGTTAGCTGGGAAATGGTACACATGTGGGATGCTGCTGCCACAGCTGGTCCCAGTATAATATTCTTAACCGTTGGTTTGCCAAAGGTACAGAACACTGTTTAAAGTAGAGAAGCATTTTTCTGGGTCTAAATGGAGTTCTTTGCTAACATGCTTTTGTTCCCAGGGTATCATCTGGGGAAATCAGAGGAAACGCCACTTAAGGTAAGTCTTGGCGAGTAACTGTTTTTCCCTTGAAATCGTCTCATTGTGATACGGGACTATTGCCAAGTACCAGTCAAACTTTAGTAGTATTTCTTTGGATGTTCTGTTTTGCCGTGAGGGTGTCACACCCCTTTGTCATTAGCCCAGTGTGTCTGTTCTAGAAGATTCTTCCCTGGAGCAGGTTGGTAACAGGGCTGATCAGTAGCAGAGGGGGGTCCGAGTGTTTCTCAGATGCTCTCCCTTTAGTTGAGTTTGCTTGGGACACAGGAAGACAGTAATCGCACTTCTACATGTTAAGAATCTTCGTTTTCTTTCTGTTTGTGCAGCTCGTATCTCAAAAGTCACATGTTGAGCTTAATCAACTACATTTGTATGTAACTTATCAGACTGAAATTGGTGTCATGTGTTCTACTTATTGGCAGTATGGAAGTTTTCCGAAGTTGTGATCTAATGTACAAGCACACCATCACTCTAGCGTGTGTGCTGTAAGGGATTCGGCCGACTTTGCGGCACGTGTTCTGGAGAATCCTGAAAGCATCAGTTATGATAGTGATGAATGCATGAGGAGTGGAGGAAACAACTTGTGTTAATAACTCTTTTGAGAACTTTAGTTGTGAGCATGGTAGAGAGAACTGGAAGTTAGTGGGAAGAAAAGGGTACATGTGTGCTGATTTATACGTCTTGTCAAAGGGGTAGGGATGTGACACAGCGCTTAAGATGCTTCCATTTCATGTTCGAATTCATGTGTCGAGCTCCTGGTTGACCTGACCTAGTTCTGGCTTTGCAGGCATTTGGGGAATGGACCAGTGGACAAAAGATGTCTCCTTCCCCCCTTCTCTCCCCTTGCCTTTCAGAGAACAATAGTGATAACAATAACAGATCCCATCAGTGGATTCTTTTAAAAAAAGATTTATTTTTTAATTTTTAAATTTATTTATTTTTATTGGCAAGGCAGACCAGATTTACAGAGAGAAAGAAAGTTGAAGAGAAAAATCTTCCACCTGCTGATTCACTGCCCAAGTGGCCTTCAGTAGCCAGAGCTGAGCCAACCTGAAGCCAGGAGCCAGGAGCCAGGAGCTTCTTCCAGTTCTCCCAGGCAGGTGCATGGTCCCAAAGCTTTGGGCCATCCTCGACAGCTTTCCCAGGCCACAAGCAGGGAGCTGGATGGGAAGTGGAGCAGCTGGGACATGAACCTGTGTCCGTATGATCCCAGGGCTTGCAAGGTGAGGATTTAGCTATTGAACAGTGGTGCTGTGCCTGAGATTGATTTATTTTTAACGGCATATTTACAGAGATTGGAGAGATGAAGAGAGGTCTTCCATCTATTGATCTCACTCCTCAGATGGTCATGATGGCCAGAGCTGAGCTGAACAAAAGCTGCAAGTCAGGAGCTTCTCCCCTGTCTCCCACTTGGGTGCAGGGTCCCCAGAACTTGAGTCGTTCTCTACTTTTCCCAGGCTTCAGAAAGTTGGATCAAGAGTCAAGCAGCCAGGATGTAAACCAGTGCCCCTTTGGGATGCTGGCTCTGGCAGGTGCCGGATGAGCATTCTGTCCACCATACTAGGCCTGATTGTTTTTGTTTTGACCTTGACTAGTTTCTCTTAACAGTTGACTGCAAGATGGATGCCAGGAATTCAGGGGTCTCAATTAAATCTATGTTTGTGGAAGAAAAAATACTCACTGTTTTTTTTTTCTGCATGTGTTAACAGAACAGTTTCTGCAGAAACCTCATAGTAGAAGCCACCTTTTCCCTCTTCTGTTAGTCAACATTACAGATAAACCTATACCACAATCCATCATACCAAGTGAAGTGTGACCTCCCCCCACCCATAATGATTGGCTTAAATAAATCATGAGTTATTTTGCTTTGGACTGGGGATCTGCTGTAGCAGAAGTGTGTAGTTGGAGTGCTGTCAGGAATTGCATAGAAAGTGAGGGGGTGAATTGTGCTGAGTGGTTCACAGCATCGTCTTTGCCCGTGACTACACAGGCACACATTTCTGAGTTTAAAAAAAAATGTGGTGGTTGTTTTAAAAATAGAAAATGCCTTTTCTGCCCAAAAACTATTCCTAGAAGAAATGTATTTCTTTCAGTACTCGTAGGAGTTCTGAACTCTTTCAGGGAAAGAGAACTGCAAAGAGAACTCCGCTTTACCTGAAGGGCATAACCCCTGTGATAGCCACCACTCACACGGAGTGTTGGGGCTAGCCTGGCTCTCATAGAAACTGGCTCACTCTCTGAGTGCATGGACTTGGAACCCAGAGTCCTAGAATGCAAACAGAAGCTCCGCCTCTCTGCATAGTCATTCCTGGACCATAAGTAGGGAGTTGGATGAGAAGCGAAGCAGCCATCACATGAGCCGGTGTCCGTATATGCTGCAGGTGCCAGAGGTGGAGGCTTGGTGCACTAAGCCGTGGTGCTGGGCAGCCCCTCTAGCCAGGTCTCTTTTCTTTAAGTTTTTTTTTTTAAACACATAAAATGTGTGTATTTTATGGTATGTCATGAGACTTTTGATAAATAGATACATTGTATAATGTTTAACAGGGTAATACATCTGTCTCTAAACATTTAATAGTTGGTTGTGGTCAAAACATTCGAAATCCTATTATCTGAGTATTTTGATAGTGAGAATTACTTTTTGAATATAAATTTTTGTCTGATATAAAATGTAATATATGAACCTTATTTTTCTACTCAGTTGTTCCTAGGTACATTTCAGTTGTATTTGTGGGTCCCAAATTATTGCTTTTTTGCACTGAATTTTGTGATTATCGTAAGTTATAAATGTAGTTATTGAGAACTCTAATGAAAAATTGTGGCTTGAAAATTCCTATTTTAGAAATGATTATTTGGACTCACAGATTGATAAAGGAGACAGTTCTTAGTTTTAACAGTGTATGTTGAGACACTGTAGGCCTATGGTAGCTGACCAGGGATAAATGAACCCATTATTATTATTATAGTATTATTTTAAAATACAGTATTTAAATTTAATACTCTATTTGAATTAAAAACCTTCACTTCATTGATTGACATGATGTATTAATTGCTTTGCTGTATTGCTGCCTAAGATTGTTACCAAAGATCCTTTTTACTCTTAATCTAATCTTTTAAAATTATGAGTTGGTGTGTAAGGAGTGGTTGAGAATTTGAATGGCACTTTATTTTTTGTTTGGCCTTTTTTCCTACCCCTCCCCCCCCCCGCCACTCCCCCCAGTTACTTTTGATTCTGTGTGTGTCAGCTCTTGGACCTACTAAGAGTTATTCTGACTTGGAACAAATTTTAAGCCTTCTCACTTACCTGTACATCTAACATGCACCTCAAGTGTGACAAGTCCAGAAATACGGGTTGTTAGCACCCCCCCCACACACACCTTAGCAGAATCCCTATCAAACTGTTAAAAACAATTATATTCAGATAATTTTTATTTTTGGTTTCTCATTCAAATCCTTAACCATCAACATATTACTTTATAGTAAGATGCTACTTGCCTTCATTAAGGTCAAAGTTCACATTTTAATTTTCTCGAAGCCTCCCAAAGAATGTAGGTAGGTGCTGCTTTCTCTGCCTTTATAATGAGTATTTCCCCAAAACATCCATTTTGATATTAAATAGAAAATTCATAGACAACTCTGAGACACAACAGTCTCCAATGCTATCTTCAACATAATTATTAAAAAACAAATGTTTCAAGAAACTAAGAATGGTGACATTGTAAAGAAAAAAACAGGCACTAATACAGGAAAGTACTAAGACCCAGCGCATCGGACGTGCAAATGCACTTCTCTGAAGCCAAGGTTGACACGAAGCATCCACAGGTGGCTTTGCCCAACTTGTCTCACAAAGCCTCAGAAAGGTATTAGGTGCTAAGCACACCGAATTATTAAAGCCAAAAGGAAATGGAGTTTCAGTTGACTTGAATACTTCCAGAGGCTAGAGATATAACTGAGGCAAGTCACACGAATCACCACTGGAGGACCAGGAGAACCACACCCATCTCGTCAGGACCAAATGCTTTAGTTCACTTAACAGCACAATGGATAATACAGCAGGCAAATCATATTTTATCATTATTGCCCTGATGATGTACAGATTGAAAGGAAAACCAACTGTTTATTTTACAACTGAAGAGTTTCAAGGACCAGTGCATGTACAAGTGGCTGCAACAGCTGGAGCTGAGCCAATCCGAAGCCAGGAACCAGGAGCTTGTTCCTGGCCTCCCACATAGGTGCAGCATCCCAAAGCTTTGGGTTGTCCTGGACTGCTTTCCCAAGCCACACACAGGGAAGGGGGGCCACCAGGATTAGAACCAGCACCCAAATGGGATCCTGAAGCGTTCAAGGCGAGGACTTTAGCCGCTATGCTATCACGCTGGGCCCCCATGGCAAGTAAAAAAAAAATTGTCTGACATATGAGTAGTGAGTCTTTAAACAGCTTATGCGGACTTTTCTGTTAGTTTCTATTAATTGGATCCAGTAAGTATAAATACGATTTTTAATATTAGGAAAACTAATTGGAAACGTCTAATTTACCCTGTATAAGACCTTGCATAGGTCTGTAATAATTGTGAACTTTAAAAATTGCTTTGATTTCTTAAAAAAATTTAGAAATTCTATTCTTAAGTTATATATAATTTTAACAGATTGAGATAATTTTCCCACTTAAAATCCTTAAAAAGTTGTGATTTTGCTGTTTCTATAAGTATCTCTGCTACTTACATCCATGCACTATTTCTTGTTTTACATTTTCATTCAGTTTTTAAAAATATTCCCATTTACATATCCTATTCCATCATGATTAAAATTTTTATTAAGGCTGAGAGGAAATGATTTTAGGAAATGAGGTGATCAGAGATGGATGGGGCAGTGGTGGTATACAGGGCATACTGGGAGAAGGGGTGTGGAAGAGGAGGTGGGAGTGCCCAGTCCCCTAGAACCGAGGGGGCAGCGCCTTTGCAGAACCCCAGGTGACGGATACTGCTGCTGTTCAAGGCTGCACAGTTGCCCGTATTTACTATTGCTAACTTAGGTCCGCCAGTCACCACTTAATGCCCTTCCTGCACACATGAACCCTAATGACTATTTTGTGAAACATATTTCTCATTAACTGAATATTATGGTTAAATGAAAATGGGCCAAAAAGTAGTTTTTATTGAAGACTTCATGATGAATACCTTTCAGAAGGTCTGCGTTCCTGTGTAAATTGATGTTGAAGATTATTCTTGTCTATTTCTTCTCTCTGAGGCATCATTTTCATTCCAGACGTACCTAGTTATGTTCTGAGTGTATGTAACTTGTAGAAAAGAATGTCTGGCATTGAGTCATGTTCATTGAAGCTGACAAGTGATGGCAGCCGTTTTGTTTTAAATGAATACTTGGTATTAGATGACTCGTTATACCTTTCCTATTAAGAATTAAAATACAACATAGTCTTTTGAGACTCGGGCTGAATGACATTTTATCTGCTTCACGTGTGTGAAACTTTATCCTCATACAAAGTTACCTTCTGAATTTTTGTCTTATAAAGATTATACGGATGACTGTGATCAAATATTCTTGAGATTTACAAGGCTTTCTTTAACAGGCAGATAATGGCGAAGCATTTTGTTTCCTTTTCTGTCTTTTGAAAGCAGATGCGTCACATTTTAGCTATGTTAGCACTACAGGTTGTGTATATTGGATGGAGAGCAGAAGTTATTTCTAAGTTGGGGTTCAGGAAGCTTAGGAAATGCCTATTCATACTTTATCAGCACTTGCGTGTGAGTCAGCAGTTTGCTAAGGCCTGCAAACATTTATTTGGAACTGTCTAGTTAGTATGTATTGCAAAAAGTGGGAGAAATTCTGGTGTAACAAAATTCTAAATTTGGTGCTCAAATTCATGATGGCTTTAGGCTGCATTGTTAATGCAAGGGAATTTCGCAGTCTTTATGGAAAGATAGAATTAAAAATCAAGTTTACTTTGGTACATTATTTTGAAAGCCACAGAAAATTTTTGTGATACTTTTCATAATCTGTTCAAGACAATTTGTATACTGTTTTTTTTTCATGTTGGAGAACTGTTGAAAGATATTTGATAGATATTGGAATAATGTGTTATTATCTGGTGTAATCATTACATAGTTATCAAGTGAAAATGGATTTGTTGACCACTGAGTTTTCAAGAATTAGAAAATTTGATTTTTATAACACTGTTCTGTATTGCCTATACTAATTAGAGTCAGGCTGTGTGTGTCTAAAGATACCAACTTGATCTTCCTTGGCCAGTTGTCTTTCAGGTATTTTTCTAGCTCCCAGTGGTAGGAGTGGGACCCTCTTCCCTTACAGCTCTGGAGAAGCTAAGAACTTGACTCAGAGTGCTTAGGTCAATGGTCGTGTTTCCATGTGCATTGTAATAGCCAACGGCTGTACTTGAAAGCAGATTTAAATCTGGGTTTGGAGCTTGTATTATAAATACCAAGTCATTCAGCATTGAATATCTGTTTTGGCTTATTATTGCATGCTTGAATTATGGCAGAAAACCAGTCAGGAAAAGTTGACATGTAAGTTGAGACCTAAGAGATGAGAAATCAGTATGCTAAACATTGGAAGCGCAGGCAGCAAACATAGCAGGTATGCAGGCCAAAGCAGTGAGAGCCGCGTGGTCCAGGGCGCAGGAAGGCACACTAAGGCTGGAGAGCAGCAAAGGGCGAGGCTGAGACGGACAAAACCTGAGCACAGTCGTCTTGAGGAAGTAGTTTGGGAGACATCATGGGATTTACATGGGAGGGGAGAGATCACTTAGTCTTTTGTTAATGTTTTCATTACCACTGGTTACTGCTTGTCCCAGTGAGATAGCAAGTGAATTAAGACAAAAAGCAGCTTGGCCTAGGTGGTGTGTAGCTACTGAGTGGCAGAGCTGGCATTGAACCCAAACAGTGTAAGATTCTAAATGCTGAGTGTTAGCAACTGCACTTGTATAGGATGAGGGTTCATTAGTAGGTCTTGGAATTGAATGGATTATAGCTCGTATTTATTTTAATAGAATAATTACAGTGCTGTGGATGTAATAAATATTTGTGAAATTTAGTTTTTCTTTTTGAAATACATTTGTATGATTTTTTAAAAAAGTTTATGGAAAATGAAATTTAAAGATATTTATTCTTTGTGCAAAAGAGTTTTGAAATCCATGCATAGTATTTTTTTAAAAGATTTATTTTTTTATTATGTTTTTATTGGAAAGGCGGATATACAGAGAGGAAGATCTTCCATCCCATGATTCACTCCCCAAGTGAGCGCAACGGCCGATGCTATGCCGATCCAAAGCCAGGAGCCTCTTCCGGGTCTCCCACACGGGTGCAGGGTCCCAAAGCTTTGGGCCGTCCTTGACTGCTTTCCCGGGCCACAGGCAGGGAGCTGGAAGGGAAGCGGGGCTGCTGGGATAGAACCGGCGCCCATTTGGGATCCTGGGCGTGCAAGGTGAGGACTTAACCACTTGTGCCGCCGCGCTGGGCCCCATGCATAGTATTTTTATAATACATATTTTCATACGGTTTTTGAAGACCCCTTGTATTCATGGATTCCAAATTTTTTTTTTAACTATTTATTTTCATTTCCTTGGAAGGCATAGTGACAGTGGAAGGGATGGAGGGAGGCAGAGAGGGAGAGAAGGATGGAGAGAGAGCGAGAGACAGTGGCAGGCAAGCAGTCAGACATGTAAAGATAGATTTGCTTTATTACCCAGATGCTCACAGCAGCCAGATCTGGGCGGGCTGAAGCTAGGAACCAAGGATTTCACGTAGGCCCTTCCTGTTGATGCAGGCTTAAACACTTGAGCATCTGTTATTTTCCTGGATGTGCATTAGTGGGAAGCTAGTTGGGGGATGGAGTAGCTGGTTTCAAACTAGCCATAGATAAGGAATGAGTGTGTTCTAAGTGGCGTCTTAACCCACTGCAATACAGAGCCTATCCCTAGATTGCAAGAAAAGAATTTTTTGCACCCTAATGACCATCATTTAATTTCACTTTTCCATGAACTTTTTTGAAATACCTCTCTGTTTTGTGTATTTATGAGCTTGAGATCCATTCCTAAAGGCTATACAGCATTTCTGTAGGCAGGAGCTGTAAATGGCCGGGGTTATGATTGTGGCAGTGCAGATGGGGAGAAGTGGACCTCAGTGTTAAAAGACAGAGGCGGCAGCCTCAGTAAAAAGTTACAGGGGTGCCCTAGTGAAGGAGCTATGAAGAATAAGTTCCAGCTTCCTGGAATGAGCAGCCCCAGTCATGCTCACTCCGTGCTGTACCTTCAAGGAGATTGACATTCTTAGAGGGGCCCGTTTGGGCGACTGCCATGCTGTGTTATTCTCCAGCTTCTCTAGGCTGCAGCCGACAGGAGTTGGGGTTGGCCTCTTTCCCAAGGACAGCAAATCCGTAAATTGGTCATGAACCCATGAGGTGATCTGTTACTGAACAGATGTGGCGAGCCAAGACTAATTCTCCCTGGATTTTGACGTGCATTGTGAGCCAACTGGTGGCAGGGTTGAGAAGCAGTTGCCACAGTTGCGCAAAGGTGAGACAGCAGCCTGCTGGAGTGAAGCGGTGGAGCTTCTGCTGTGTCTGTGTATTTTGAAGTATTGCACTGTCAATTGAAAACACTTTAAAAAAATGTTTTATTTATTTTTATTGCAAAATCAGATACACAGAGAGGAGGAGAGACTGAGAGGGAGATCTTCTGTCCGATGATTCACTCCCCAAGTAGTCAGCAATGGCTGGAGCTAAACTAATCTGAAGCCAACCTGAAGCCAGGAGCCAGGAGCCTCTTCTGGGTCTCCCACATGGGTGCAGGACAGGCTTTGGCCTGTCCTTGACTGCTTTCCCAGGCTGCAAGCAGGGAGCTTGCGTGGGAAGTGGAGCCGCCGTGATTAGAACTGGTGCCATATGGGATCCTGGTACATGCAAGGTGAAGATTTTAGCAACTAGGCCATTGCACCTGGTTCTAAAAAAACACTTTTAAAAGGTATTTTAGTGCCCAAATTTTGAAACTCATGTGGAGATTTTTTTTGTGTGTGTAATATGTGTTTTCATGAGCTTTTTGGGGGGGGGGTGGTTTGAAGATTTATTTATCTTAATTGGAAAGGCAGGTCAGATTTATGGAAAGAAAGCAAGATAGAAAGATCTTCCGTCTTCTGGTTCACTCCCCAAATGGCTGCAGTGTTAGAAACTGAATTGTTCTGAAGCCAGGAGTTTCTTCTGGGTCTCCCACGTGCTTGCAGGGTCCCAAGCCTTGGACACATCCTCCACTGCCCTTCCAGGTCATTGGCAGGGCGCTGAGTGGGAAGTGGAGCAGCTGGAACACAAACTGGTGCTCATGTGGGATTGCAGCATTCTGAAGGGGAGGGTTTAGCCAGTTGAGCTATTGGGGCGAAACCCTCTGTGAACTTTGTTGGAATATCGTTCATATTTGAGAAAGGATGCTGAGAGAATTATATCCTAGAGAAGCAGGATGGAATAGAATCAAGAGAATACATAATGGAGGAATTGTGTGTGTGTGTGTGTGTGTGTGTGTGTGTGTGTGTGTGTGTGTGTGTGTGTGTGTGAAATTGGATCCTAGTTATGGTGGTCTGTTGAGACACTGAGGACAAAGGTGGAGAGCTGTTACAGAGAGCAGGAGATAGAGTGTGCAGAGACTTGGCAAGCTGTGTTGAGATCCAGAGATTGCACACGTTTGCAATTTTCTTAGCTGTTCTATGTTCAAAAAAATTGATGAGATAAAAAGCAATGGTGTTTGCAAGCCAGACGTCAGGAAGAAAAGGGAGGCTGGGCTTGAATGGAGGGACACAGTGGAGCATGTGATTTGTTAGTGAGCCCTGCTTGGCTGAGGAAACTCCAGTGCTCCAGGGAGGGTGTGTGGCTTTGTAGGAGGAAGAAGGTGGTGGTGGTGGGGGCAGTGTTACACACAAAGGATACATAGTTTGTTTAAAAGATGGTTCCTTCCTACTTTTTCCAACACCTAAAGTATTAAGTCCACTTGCTGAAAGGTGGACTACTACTCTTTTATTTGAGTGTGCTCAAAAGTTGAGGTGCTTCTAGTATTGATTTTGAAATTACCAATGATTTCCTGTGGTGTGCTGGGTCTGTAGAGGATACCTGGTGGTCCTTAGCCTTAGGTGAAGTTTAACCATGGCTTGAGATTTTCATTGACTGCTTCTGAGGACCGTAACATTTCAGCTATTCTGAGGACTTTTAAGTCTAAGTAGAAGAGAACTTTTAGAGGGATTTCATGTGTGTACATCAAAGATACAAAGATGGTTGTGTTTGAGGCGGTGTTCGCACATGATCTGGGCGGGAAGTAGGTGAGCTTCAGAAATCCTTATTTTTCCTTTCAAAATTTAGTTTTCAAACTAAATCTGTAAATTAGATGTGTAGCTAATCTAAAACAGTAGCATGTATTCATTCACTATGAACTTGATGTGTTTTGGGAAGTGAGTAACCCGTAAGAAGAACAGAAGCAAGTGATGCTGGAATGATCCCATGATGGAAACCGTAGGATACGCACACCTGGCTGTGTTCATCACAGGGGATGAGGGCTGGAGGGAACTATTAGACCCATGTCTAGCCTCTTAATTTCAGCTTCTATTTGTTTTAGAACATATATATCAAAATAGTTTTGCATGCCTGAATATGTGTGCATTGGGAGTGACCATCCTACCCCTTTTTCCTTTATGTACAGTGGCATGTAAATGTGTGAGGGCTACTACATGCTATGATGTATTTTCTTAAAAATTGTGTTTTGGGACCCAGGATAATAGCTTGATTGGCTAATCCTCCATCTTGCACTTGCCGGGATTCCATGTGGGCATTGGCTCGTATCCCGGCTGCTCCACTGCGCATCCAGGTTCCTGCTTGTTCTCTGGGAAGGCAGTCAAGGATAGGACCCTGTACCTAGAGGGGAGACCTGGAAGAGGCTCCTGGCTGCCAACTTCGGATTGGCTCAGCTCTGGCCATTGCGGCCAGTTGGGGAGTAAACCAGCAGATGGAAGAGCTTTCTTTATCTCGTTCTCTTTCTGAAATCTGCCTTTCCAATAAAAATAAATAAATCTTTAAAAAAAAATGATTTGACAACTTTTTTATATTTTAACATTTTGAAGAAACCAAGAATTTCTCTATATGACAAAACATGCTTGTAACCATGAAATGGTTTTATTTGTTGTCTGCTATTTATAATGACTTCCTATATTTGAAACTCATTATTGCAATTTGAGTTGTCACATTCAAATCATTTTCTCTTTTTGGTTAGGTGTAACTTTGCCTTTTATAAAATAGTGTCTCATTTGAGCACACTAAATTCTCCTACCCTCTCTGATGTGGGGAAATGATGCGTGGAAATATTTGTCTCATCCCGTAGTGTGACCTGACTTCATACGTGTGCACACATGCACTCACTCACACAATAGCATGGTGATAGCTCCTCGACATTCCCTGGCCCCGTCGTTGGCTTGCGGTCGGTGTTTCCCTGCTGTGACATGCCGCACTTTCAGAGAGCAGCCCTGACAGCCTTGCTTCAAAAAAGTTCTACTTTCCCTCAGCTCAAAAACATTTTCAGATTAAAACGAAACAAAAACAAACAACAGAAACCAATACTAGGGACATATTTTAAAGGACGTTTGTTCCAGAAACATTTCTAGGTTGTTCCTATGAAGGCTTTTAATTTCATTTTTGTTTCAGTGAGGAATATGTATTTTAATTAAACACGGATGGGGGAGAGAGACACAGACACGTGCCCACACACACACACACACACACACACACACACACGCACGCACACTCACTCACTCACTCTGCTCCGTATCTGTTGCTTCACTCTCCACATGCACACGGTAACCAGGGCCAGACCATTCTGAAGTGAGGCACCCGGAACTCATTTCTCATCTCTGGTGGGTGGCCGAGATCCAGGTAGCTGAGCTCATCTTTTCCTGCCAGGGTACAGGGTACACAAGCAGGACTGGGAGCTGGGGACCCTGATGTTGGGCGCAGGTGTCACAAGCGGGGACTTAAGCGCTGCTCCAAATGCCTGCTCCAAACTCTTACAAAGAATACAATTTATTTAGCTAAACTCTTCCATGTGTCTTTGCAGGTTGATGCCAGTTAGAAGAATGCGCTCCACTGAACTTTCAGGCACCGTTTGTTACGCAGGATGTCTCTGAGTGAGAACACAGTTTTTGCTTATGAATCTTCGGTGCACAGCACCAATGTCTTGCTGAGCCTCAACGACCAGCGCAAGAAGGATGTGCTGTGCGACATCAGCGTGTTCGTGGAGGGGCAGCGGTTCCGCGCCCACCGGTCGGTGCTGGCGGCGTGGAGCAGTTACTTTCACACACGCATCATAGGCCAGGCTGAGCCGGAGCTGAGCATTACCCTTCCGGAAGAGGTGAGTGCTTCATAGCCCTGGGGATTGTAACTTAGTAAGTTTCTTATGCTTGATAAGGCTAAAAATAGAGCCATTTTTCTTGTCAGGTGGCTGAGGTGTATTTCCTAACTTCTGCGAAGTTTTTGTGTCTTGAGATTGTTGACCTTGTAGGAAAGAAACGGTTTTGCATTATTTATTTATTTATTTTTAAAATTTGTATCTGACAGCGACTAAGCTCACTCCTGCTGATTCACTTCCCAGATGCCCGCACTGGCAGGGGCTGTGTTGGGATGTCACTCACGAGGCAGGAATGCAGGCAGGTCTGCCGCCTTGATGGCTGCAGCAGCTGCCTGGCAGAGGCCGCGTTAGGGCAGGCTAACGGATGCAGGTACTGGAGTCAGTGTGGTCTGAGGCTCTTCATCTGAGTCTTAACTCTGTGTGAGATATCCGGCTCTGTTTGCATTGTATAATTTGTTTTAGCATCTGTCCTTTGCCTCGCCTGTTGTGGATTCCAGATTAATGAGTATTTGGATCTTTGTTCCCAAATTACTTAATGTCCCACCTCCAAAAGAACTTTCTTTTGGGTAAAGAATGCTGGTTACACTTATTTTAGTTAGTAACTGCTGCTTGCAAGGCATCAAACCTTTGGCATTAGTACACTATTAGAAATGCTAAGAGGAATGTATAGAAAATGTGTAAAGCTCTTTGCGATGACAGATATGTGTGGCTCCTGTGGGTCGGATAGCTGGATGAACTATGAGCTAAGTGTGGGTTAGCTGCTGCTGGCCAAGGCATATGTCATCAGGCTGTGGCTACAGCTTTGGAAGGATGCCTTATTTCTTTGGCAGAAGTCAGAGTAAGTGGTACAATACCAAGAGAATAACAAAAAAGATCAACTGTAGGCTTGGAGCTCTTTTTACAAAGGGTCAACACAAATTAATCCCGACTGGCTTACTGTAGTTCTTATTTTCAGATTATACAGTGAGACTTTCAGAATGACAAAGTTTGATTGATTCATGGGTTTGGATGTAAAGGAGTGTGTATGTGTTACATATTCATTGTAATTTGAGGTGCAGATAATAAGCTTCAATATTTTCAAGTGCTTAATCGAAGCGATGGCTTGAAAATATTGTATATGTACAGTATTGTATAACTAAAGGCCTTTTTACTTTAGCTCATTTTAAAATTTTTAATTGGGAAATTTTGAATATTGTAAAAGTCGTACAACTCCACGATGAATTAGTGCAGACTTTGATTTTTCACTCTCCCAGTGTTGAGCATTGTTAATGTGTCACGGGAGGATCGTACGTTATAAGTGGAATATAGATGTTGGTGAAAATTACCCATCAGATTCAGATTGCCTGTTTTTACACTAACTTCTGCAGTTGTGTATGTGTATTAAGTTCTCTGTACTTTTATTTGAATATTTAGGTTTTAACCAGCACGGCTAGTACTCTGAACAACATCTGTTCTTTTTTTTAAATGTTTATTTTTGATGATGCTGACATGGTTGATCAGGGTGGGAAGGGTCGAGGATCAGGGAAAAGTGGATGTGATCGTTGTTTCTTTGTTTTCCGTTTCTTTTTCCTGTATCTGGGGGGAGGAGGGCGACAGGGGAGAGAAGCCCCACACCCAGCCTCCCAGCTGGCCCCAGTACCCTGGCATGAGAAACGGCTACCCAGTGTCCACCCAGGGTTCTGGTGTGGCATACACGCCGAGGGTTCTGCCCGGGTGCTTTTGATGGTTCTGAAAGGTTGTCAATCTCACTGATCCAAGGGTAGGGGACACTCGCAGTGTCCATTGGCTGACATTGCTGACCTTACAAGAGTCTCCTTTCGCCCAGGTATTTGCTGTCATTGTTGGGCTGGGCTGGTTGTCCAGTTTGTTCTGCTCTCCAACACCTGTTCTGTGTCCTTCAGAACCACTCCACTTTGCCACTGTCATCCCTTTCTCTTCACTCCCTTATCTTTTTTCATCTTTACCTACTTAGAGCCACTAATATGTGCTCTTTTTCTAAAGTTTTCTATTTTCAAAGAATGCTACATTAGTGAAACCATAACACATTATCTTTTGGGATTGAATGTTTTCTAATGTTTTCTAATTAGCACAGTTCCCTTACTGTTACTCAGATTATATATTTTAATATTACTGAGTAGTACTTCATAGGGATGGATACAGCCAGTTAGATTTATTTATTTTTTAAGTTTATTCAAGCTTCTCTTTTACTGAAGGAATTTAGGCTAATTCCAGATTTTCAATATTAAAAAATAGCAGAAATTCTGAAAAATTGCAGAAATTTGTGTGACTTTTAACTTTTAATTTCTCTGAGATGCATGATCTGAAATATAATTGCTGGGTCACATGATAGTTGCATGTTAAATCCTCTAAGAAACTGAAACTTTTTAAAAAGTGGCTTTACCATTTCACAGTGCCCTAATAGTGTTTTGAATGATCTGGTTTCTGAGTTCTTGTCAATATTTGGCGGTGTTACTATTTTCTGTTTCAACTGTTTAAAAGTTCAGTTCTCACAGGTTAGTATGTTTTCAAGAAGATTCCATGTATTAGCTAGGTTTTTATATTTTGTAGGAACACACTGTGTTCAAGTTGGTTGTGTATTTTCAGCCAAGGGCGAGGCTTTGTGCTCTCAGGCAGCTTGTACTTGGCAGAGGCCGGGCCCGTCAGTGTACATATTTCTGCCTAAAGGCTGTGTTTCCTAAAGTTTGTGAATCTGTCCAAATACTTATAGGGCATGGTTGCTAGGGCTTGTCTCACTTTAAAATCGGATCTTTAAAAATGTTTTTTTAGTAAAAGTGTATAGTATTTAATTATTATATCATGTAGGACAGGGTTTTGCAAGAGTTTGTTTTTATCCTTAAAAATTCTACTTTTGAGAGCCGGTGCTATGGCTTGGTGTCATGACCATATTGTTCAAGTCTTGGCTGCTCCAATTTTGATTGATCCCGCTGAGAAAGTGGCCGAGAATGGCCCAAGGCCTTAGATCCCTGCACCCATGTGGGAGACCCAAAAGAACCTCCAGGCTCCCCACTTTGGGCTAACCCGAGACCATTGCGGGCATTTGGGGAGTGAACCAGTGGGTGGAAGATCTTCTTCCCTGTCTCTCCTTCTCTGAGTAAATCTACCTTTCAAATAAAAATAAATAATTTTAAAAAATTGCGCCCTTGTAGTTACTAGCACTTCGAGTAGTTTAGAATATACTGGCTGGGGGGAGGGGGTGGCGGGGCTGGCAGCTGTCCCTGTCACTTGACTCTGTGCAATGCAAGTGTTGCGTAGGCTGCTTTGTTTCATAGGTTGTTCATTTCCACTGTCTCAGGGTAGAGGGCATTGTTACGTTCTTCTGTCTTTACCGTAAGTGAGTGAACCACAATTCTGTCCTTGAAAGTAGAATCTATAAAGTGAAAGACTTGATCCCTGTGAAAAGGATGTGATATACATACATCTAGCCTGCTTTAAGTTTGTATTTTCTAGAATTAAAATCTCTTTTATTATTATCGCAAGTAAATGAAACCTCTCTGTTCCCCTTATACTTTGCTTGCCTTTATCTACTAGACATGTTTTAAGTTTTTTATTTTATTAATTTCATGTTAACAGGTGACAGTTAAAGGATTTGAACCTTTAATTCAGTTTGCTTACACTGCTAAACTGATTTTAAATAAAGACAATGTGGATGAAGTGTGCAAGTGTGTCGAGTTTTTAAATATACACAATATTGAAGAGTCCTGCTTCCAGTTTCTGAAATTCAAGTTTTTGAACTCAACTACAGACCAACAAGAATGCCAAAGAAAAAAATGCTTTCCATCATACTGTCAGAAAAAAGACCTTAAATTTTCACTTGTGGACCAGAGGGATCTAGACGTTGATGAAGTGAAAGAATTTGTGGAAAACAAAACTGCTCCTCAGTCTAAACTCCGCCGGTATCAAGACGATGCCAAAGTGGCACCTCCCCTCCAAGATAGTGCCAGTCAGACGTATGAGTCCATGTGCCTAGACAAGGATGCTAGTCTGGCTCTGCCGTCTCTGTGTCCCAAGTACAGAAAGTTCCAGAAGGCTTTTGGAACCGACAGAGTTCGTACAGTGGAATCCAGTGTGAAGGATGCTCGTGCTGCTTCTGTTCAGCCTAATGAGACATCGGAAAATGAATGTCTGGGAGGAGTCCAGGACTGTGCAGACTTACAGGTGATTTTAAAATGTGAAGAAAGTAAATTGTCATCAGAACGCGAAGAAACAAAGGTGAAAGATCCTGCCTCTCAGTGCTCAGCCGGAAAAGCAGATGTGACTCCTTTGGCCCACAATTCCTCTACGGATCCCCATGGACTCTACTCTCTGTCTCTTTTACACACGTATGACCAGTATGAGGACTTGACTTTTCCTGGTGTGCAAAACAGTGCAGTGTTAGCAGAGAAGCCTTTGTCAAGTACAGATGTTCGAGAAGAAAAAACATTTGGGGAAAGCCAGGATTTACATCAGAAACCCGAGCCAGGCCCCAGAGAAGACGGTGGCCATGCATCTAGCGATCGGAGCAGTGTGGAACGAGAAGTGGCAGAACACTTAGCCAAAGGTTTCTGGAGTGACATTTGCAACACAGACTCTCCTTGCCAGATGCAGCTGTCACCTGCCGTGGCCAAAGACAGCTCAGAACAGATCTATTCGCAGAAACGCTCGGAGTGTCCCTGGTTGGGTATTAGGATCAGCGAGAGTCCAGAGCCGGCTCAAAGGACTTTCACAACATTGAGTTCTGTGAACTGCCCTTTTATAAGTACTTTGAACAATGAAGGCTGTTCAAGCAGTTTGGAAATTGGAAGTGATGATTATGTGTCAGAAGCCCAGCAGGAACCCTGTCCTTACGCTTGCGTTATCAGCTTGGGAGATGACTCCGAGACAGACACAGAAGGAGACAGTGAATCCTGCTCAGCCAGAGAACAAGAGTGTGAGGTGAGCAGGATTATATATATATATATTTTATTATTGTTTTATGACACAGTTTAACAGGCGCTGGGGTCTCCCTTCCCCCTCCCCACTGTCCTCTCCTCCAGTCTCACAATAGGTGTCTTTCATGAACTTTCACAAATCCATCGTGCTGCCACTGAGGTGTCTCCCAACAGTGTAGCAGATGATCAGCCGTTCTGCTGGGCCTCCATCCTTGTACTGCCTGCATGGGGACAAGCTTCTGTTTCCACCTGGGAACTTTTTAGATTCATCCTTTGAAAACCATTCTTTGAGATTTACTCTGGGCCAACTTTTGTTAACTATGGTTATGAGCAGGTTCAGGAAGATGAAAAAATTTAGCTACAGTTATAAAAATTATGACAAGGTAATAAATACTATTAAAAGTGAAATAAAATTTGACTTAATATTTCAAGCGGATAAATTCAGTTATAGATTCGTAATTGACTGTTTAGCTGTATGAGTCAAATGTCATGTCCTGAAAGGAACACCATGAATAATTCTGTGATTATACACAATAACGTACAGAAAATGCAGCTTATGGGAAGGGTTCTTCATAGCCGTGAGCATCGTTAGACCTGGGACCTGTCCCTTAAGTAATGGATTTCACAGTGACTAATTGTAGGAATGTGGCTTCAATGTAAAGTTTTCTTGGTCCGAGTTTTTCAAGGTCATTGATCTCTCTTACTTTGTTTGAGCTATTAGGTTAAAGAATGTCTTACTGCTGCATTAGCATGAGTAATCTGCAGATTAACCATCTGCAAGCTTGAACTATGTATATCTGAACACAAGTTATTTGATAGCTGCATTTAATAAAATAGTAGTATGAAAATCAATGTATTCAATATTTAGGTTTCTCTATTTATGATTTTTGTCTAGTTTTCCGAAGTTGAAGTTTTTGTTTATAGTTGAGATTTTCGCCTTCTACAAATGAGTTTTGTGTTTCACCCATTGCACTTTTCTATTCTTTGAACTTTAGTTTTTTGTGTGGTGAGGTCACGTACACAGAGGCTATCCGCGGGACAGGTTTGTACTGCACAGCGGGACTTACCCATCAATGAAAGGAAACGGAAGCTTTCTCCTTCTGGAACCACCATTTCACTGTTTCTAAACATTTGACTCTTTTAGATACCTACGTATGCTGTGTGATCCAGCAAGGTGGCTCTGCTGTGTCTGGAATATTTCATGTCACAGTTTTCTCCCCAGCTCTTCCATATTAAAGCAAGATGGCCACATTTCTTTCTTTTTATTAGGCTAAATAGCACTCTGTTGTATATACATGCACCATGGTATCTGTGCTTAGTCCTCTGTTGGACATTTAGGTTGTTTCCTGTCTTGGCTCTTGTCAGCAGTTCTGTTTTGAACGTAGAAATGCAGATACTGCTTTGTGAACTTGATTTCAATATTTTTTTGGACAAATTCCAGGACATAAAATTGCTGGATCATATATGCTTGTTGCATTTTTTTTTAATCTCCTGAGGGTTCTACAAGCTGCCTTTCATACAGTTATACCATTTTATTCCCACTTTGTCCACATTCCATTGTTAAGTATTTTGTTTTGGAGCTGTTGGGTGACAGGTCTGAAAGTGGCTTTGGAGAAAAGAACAGTGGTTTAGTTGAAGGAGCGGAATATGGACATGGGCTGTAGCTGTAGCTTTGTGTGACATTTATGAATGTAGCATTGGAACCACTGTGAAGAGTGTTAGAACATTTTGTATAAGTAATTTCTGTAAGCTTACACAGCAAGCTAAATAGACTGCTAGACTAACCAACATTACATTCATACTTTGATTAATAAAAAGTTGTACAAGTTCGCTTTTTTTTTTAAGTTATTTTTTCCTTTTTCTAAATTTGGATGTGTTGAAAATGATTTTAAAACATGAACTTGATAAGATTTTCCTTTTTTACACTGGCAAGTGAAATGTATGGACTTTATTTTTTTCTCTTACATTTTTAGACATTTATTTGAGATAAAGAAAGAGACTGATTTTTCTGTCTGCTAATTTTGCTCCTTAAATTCCCACAACAGCCCAGGGCAGACTGAAGGCAGTAGCGTGGATCTCACTCCAGGCCTTCCATGTGGGTGCGTGGCAGACATGCAGACACCTGTAGCTATCACCTGCTGCCTCCCAGAGAGTCCCAGTCAGTAGGAGGTCAGGTTCAGGAGCAGAACTGAGGCTAAGCCACACACCCTAACATGGGATGCAAGCATCGTGGCCTGGGTTGAAAGCTGTCGTGTGGAATACCTACCTCCCTGAAGCTTCAGTTTTCTTGATATATTATCTGAATTGCCTTAGAAATTGGTGATAGGCCTGCCGTGATGGCCTAGTGGCTAAATCTTCCCAGCAGATGGAAGATCTTCATCTCTATTTCTTCTCTCTATATATCTGCCTTTCCAATAAAATAATAATAATAATAATAAAAATTACTGGCATGTTTATTCCAGTATTAAGTATCGTGCATAGGGTGAAGAGCTTTTATTTTGAGATTGAGTAGAATCATATTAAAAACACTTTTTAAAAGATAGTTTCTAGCTGCTGGTTATCTCCCCCAAGTGCCCCAACACAGGGCTTGGCTGAAGCCAGGCATCAGGATTCTGTCCAGGTCTCACTGGTGCCAGGACCCAAGCACTTGGGTTATCATCTGTTATCCTGCAGGAACATTAGCAGGGAATTGCATCGGAAACTGAGTTGCTGGGACCCAAAACAGTACTTGCAATGATCGGTGGCTTAATTGCTGTTCAACTTTACTGGACCTAAAGTAACCTTAAGAAGAAGCTTAATGTTTGTGTTTTTCACATGTATTAAAGTAACATGACTCTGATTTTCCATTTCAAGTATGTTATTGTAAATGTCAGCATACTCGATTTGCTGAAAAAGAACTTCTCTGTTACTTTTGGAACTAATTATCAGATAATGATTTGCAGAAATTGGAAATAGGGCCTGTTTTAAAAAGCCAGATGAAATTCTCAGAGAAATTTATTTCCCGAGTTAAGTATTATAAAATACAGCACTAATTGTTAGTGCTTATTTCACATTCTAGGTTAAACTACCATTTAATGCACAGCGAATAATTTCGCTCTCTCGGAATGATTTCCAATCCTTGTTGAAAATGCACAAGCTGACTCCAGAACAGCTGGACTGTATCCATGATATCCGAAGAAGAAGTAAAAACAGAATTGCTGCACAGCGCTGTCGCAAGAGAAAGCTTGACTGTATACAGAACCTGGAATCAGAAATCGAGAAACTGGTAAGTGTGTCACTTTAGTATTGTTTAATCTCCAGCTCTTTCTTTATAGAGGAAATAGCTGTTTAAATTCTTAAGTCACATGCAATACATTAAAAAATGTATTGGATACCATTTTATAAAAATTACGTGTCATTTTCAGGATTTCAAAAGTAAAATCGTGAGACTTTATAGAGTATTTTACTTATGTAGGTATTGTACATTTTTAGTGTGATGTCCTTTGATGTGTAAGTTGGAAACTGTTTCTAGGTTTTTGTAAAAATGGCTTTCCAATAAATGGTAGTTTTATTGCTAACCTAATTCTTAGTGGTTGAGTAAAGATCGACGAAATTATAAGATACATTATCTGTCTGTAACATGTTCGGTTCAGTGTCTATAAAAGTTATTGTTTTAGGGCCCGGCGCGGTGGCGCAGTGGTTAAGGTCCTCGCCTAGCACCCCCGGGATCTCGTATGGGCGCCGGTTCTAATCCCGGCAGCCCCACTTCCCTTCCAGCTCCCTGCCTGTGGCCCGGGAAAGCAGTTGAGGACGGCCCAAAGCTTTGGGACCCTGCACCCATGTGGGAGACCCGGAAGAGGCTCCTGGCTTCAGATCGGCATAGCATCGGCCGTTGCGCTCACTTGGGGAGTGAATCATCAAACGGAAGATCTTGCTCTCTGTCTCTCCTCTCTGTATATCCGCCTTTCCAATAAAAAATAATAAAAGTAAATCTTTAAAAAAAGTTATTGTTTTAGTTTAAATGTGCTGTGGAGCCAAATTAATGTGCTAATTTATACTAAAAATATAATAGACTAATGAGGATTTTTCATCTAAGGATCTTCCTTGAATATCGATATCATAGAGTGTTAAGATCCTTCAAATTCTATCTTGCTTGTTTATTGAATGGTATTTGATATTCTCCCATCAAGACGTAAATTAACTGAGAATTGGGTGGTGGAGGGATGCTACATGAAAAAAGAATGCTAAGGATTGTACAGGCCAGCTAAGGGTAAAACTCTGAATAAAGATGACATGGAAATAGCCTAGAATAGTAAAGAATTGTCTTTGAATATGTGTTTTTGTATTTAAAGTTGTAATTGTCCAAGTCTTCAAAGCTGAACATTTTAGGAATGTTAGTTAAATAGCATTGGTTTGGAAGGAATCGTGTCTTATATGTCATCAAGAAGAGTGGAAGAAAAGTTTGTTATATGTGTGTATATATAGTGTATATGCTTTATGCAAAAGTTGAAGTATAACTTTAAAAAATGAAGTGTAGCTATATAAAAACCCCAATATTTTACAAATAAATCATGACATGAGTTACTAAAAATGCTGATGATATTGCTGTGTAATTTAAGTTGTTAGGTTCAGAGAAGAAAAGTTAAAAATTCTAATATTTAATACTTTCGGAGTATGTTTTTATCATACCTTTGAGCACTACCATTGTTTTTCATATTCCTGCTTTGAATTAAACACTCCACCTGTCCTTAAAGCCTTTTCACTTTGGTTATTTTTCTGTGCTATAATACATCTAACTATTGTTAGATGATGTGAATATATTAAGTCCTGTGGGAATCCATATCAGATTGAGCTACTGCAGTGTTTAGTCTTTTAGTTCTTTTGTCAGTTGTGATTTAGAGTTGTCGGTGGCACTGATTCTCTCTGTGTTGGTCAGTCTATTTTGTACATGGTTGCTAAGCTGGTGTGGTTTCCGAGTAGATGTTACTCTTTGGGACTACTCCATTTCCTGGCTAGGTTTTGTTTGTTTTGTTTGAAGTTAGACACTGGACTGCCGGATAATTGTACAACATTGTTTCAAGGGCCTTTCTTGGAGCTGTGCCTGCTCTCCTTACTGCAGCAGAGGAGTGGGTACACATACAGTGGCGATCACTGCAGTGTTTATATTACATTACTTGTTTTGTAATTGCGCATCCATTTTCCTGTAGCCAGTCACTGATGGTATCAACGAATCAATCACATTTATTTCCGTAGTCTGATAACATACAGGCAGAGGGCCCTACATTGTAGTGAGCTACTACTGGCTTTTGGCTGTTTTACTACTGTGAAATCTAGTAACTTTTCCCAGGTGATCCTGAGCATCATAAAAGCATAGAATGCATTAGTCTACAAAACACATAAAATAAATGTTTGGAGAATAGTTACTCTAATGTGAGTCAATCGAATAGTTATTACAAAGGATAGTTTTACAGTCTCACTGTATTAGGGAATCAAAGAATAATGTTTGCTCACATTGTTACATTTCTTAATCAACTTTATCATTTATTTTGAACCTTATATGATGTGGGTGAGGCATTGCTTTTACTATCAAATTTAATGTTCGTAATACACAAATCAATAGCTGATCTTAGGATAAAATTGAAGAATCAGTTCTACTTCTGTTAGTATGTTTGAAGCACTTGTCTGTGGATTTCTATGCAAGAATTAAGGTTATTCTTTTCTAGAAGATTAATTCAGAAGGTGGAAAGTGTGGGTATGTCTGATAATCTGAAAGGAAGAAAACCACACTTTTTAAAGAAAAACAAAGTTAATGTGTTTCTGTTAGAAGTATCAAATGTTGCTTGATACCAGCTTACAAGTGACCAGAAATTAGAATGATCCCAAGTCTTTTCAGCAAAATGTTGAGGTGTTCAAATATCATTTTGTTTCTTGAACCCTGTCCAATGTGATGGGACGGGAATAAAACGGCCTCAAGTGTCTTTACTGTTTAATATTTTGAATCAGAGGTTGTATTTTATTAAAAAGCAGCCTGTATGTTCACACTAGTCATTTTGCACCAAACGCACCTCGTTAATCATTTGGAGCCTGTTGTGTGCCATTCTGTGGTGCCAGGGATCATTGCTTCAATGGGTGTGATCTATGTCCCGTTGGCTTGGGAGTCATTTGGGGATGGTCCTAAGATGAGTATTCTTTATTGCTACCCAAGACCTCATGGAAGGTCCGGGAATGTGTATTGTATGTATGTTTTTGTGCTAACTGTTGTATACTTTAATCCTTGAGCGCTCACTAAGCTGGAGGACAGACACAAGCTGGGGGCTTTAGCATAAAATGATTGGAAGGCGCTTGTGATCTGGGTCACATAACCTCCCACATTCCCTCCAAGTAATGTGTGGGTAGGAATGCTAACTACCTCAGGGTTGCTGCGAGTTTCAAATGAGACCAGAGATGGAAAGCTTTTTGTACTGTTCAGCACAGGTTCAGGTTTCAATGAATGTTAGTTATATTTTAAGTAAAAGTGGTTTTGTATTTTTCAATTTGTATTGGCTTACACGTATGTGTTAACTACACAACTAGATACTAGGAAATCAAAGGTAAAGAAAGTATCACCCACAACCTTATAGGAGGCAGGTTATTCGGTTTGTTTTTTTTCTTGTACCTCTTCTCCCCATTGCTTGTTCTAAAAATCTGAAACTTTGGGAGAAGTGAAATGAATAGTATAATAAGCAACCATGTATTTCCCATGTAAATTCAGTCACTAAATTTTGGCATGTTTGTTTTCTTTCTCTCTCTGTCTTGTTCTCTTTCTGCCCTTCTGGGTCTCCTTGCCTGCCTGGGGCCTCCACACCTCTTGCTTCATCGGTCTTTGTCTTTCCATCTCTGGTGGTCTGTCTTTTCCAGCCTTGTCTGATGGTTATTGGTCCACTGTCTGTTGGCCTCATGCTCATTTCTTTCCTGCTTTCTTGGCTGGCTGTCTACTCTGTGCCTCTTCTTTTTTGAACCTTTTGAAAGATATCACATGATGGTTCTTCATCCTGACATTCTAGAGAAGGCATCATTATCTGTATATTTATTATGCCTGAGAACATAACAAATCTTCAGTATTTTATCTAGTACTTACTTACATTATCCCATGTCTTTCCTAGATGCTTTTTTTCCTCCTAAAACTAGGATCCAGTCATTGTGTGTATGTGTGTGTGTATGTAGGTATGTGTGAAGCCTTTTCACTCTTACTCTGGAATAAATTTTTTTCATTTTTTAAAAAAGTTATTTGTTTCAAAGAGTTCCATAGAGGGAGGGAGAGCAGGATAGTGAGATCTTCTGATTATTGGTGCACTCCCCAAGGCTGGGCCCTGTCAAAGCCTGCAGTTTCATTTGGGTCTCCCCTGTAATGGCAGGGGGCCAAACAGCTGGATTGTAACTGCTGCTTAAGCCATTAACAAACAGCTGGATGCGAAGTGGAGCAGTTGGAACAGGAAGCAACAGCCATATGGGACGGCAGCGTTGCAGGTGGCACCTCTGAGCTGCTACATACAGCATGATGCTTACACTACTTCCTGTGGCTGCAACAGTAGAGATTGGGCCAGGCTGAAGCCAGGAATCGCAAACTATCCAGTTTTCCCACATGGGTGGCAGTAGGCTGTCTTCCCCTTGCTTCCCAGGTGCATTAACAAGGAGCTGGATTTGAAGTGGAGCAGTGAAAAACTGTGCACATTTGATCTTAGCCAAAAGGCCGAGAAGCGATTAAAAAAAAAATAACAACTCTGCACTGAGAGTGGCTTTAACCCACTGTGCTCAAAGTGAGCCTCAAGTCTTCACCTTGTTTTAAAAAATATTTTTGTAAAATGCCAAGGCAAAGTTTCTTATAAAATGTCCCACATTTAATATTTGTTAGATTGGGTCCCCAAGGTTTTATTTAACTCTTCCCTCCGTCCCTTTTTTTCACATATATTGGAAAATGTTTTGAGTTATTTAGTCTGAGATTAAACATTCACTAAGTTTTGTATATTTCATCAGCTAGGGAGGCGCACCGTATCAGCGTGTCCCACTTAGGTCTGTGGTAATTGCCAGATTTCTTCATTTGGAAAGTTGTGTTTTTGTCCTTGTAGTGGTTCTGTGATCCGTGAGGCCCTTGTAGGTCAGTGATCTGTGAAGATACTTTGTGACTGTCCTGTTCCTCTGCCTTCCTACTTGGTTCGGTTTTTAGCTTGTGTCGGTGAGTTTCACATTTGAGACAAGTGAGTTTTCCCATTTTCTCATCACACTTTTACATTTCGTGGTTGACATTCCTGTTTCAGAAGGGTTTTCGTTCTCTCTTTTGCTGTTGTCCTCTGACCCTGTAGTGTTATTAGGTACCTGCCAGTTGGTTTTTTTAATTCACTTTGTTAGACTCAATCATAGCAATTTGATCTCAGAAAAGAATTTGTTGTCCTTTTTTTTTCCCTGATGATGAGGATTGCTATCTGGTAATGTCTTTTATACTCCCTCATATTATAAAAATGGAATATTTTTGCTTGTTGTTACAAGTTTCCCTGGACTGTCCAGAGGTTTTCTGTTGCCTGTGTTTGTGCTGTATGGGATGTTTTCCAGTAGTGAATACACTTTATCTCAAAATAAATTGTCACCGTTCTCTGCATCTTTGGAGGTCACATTCGTTTGAGCTTATTAAGTGAGTTATGTCTAGAATCATTTTTAAAAATGAATCTTTTGCCAGGTCCTATGCCTGCCAGAACACGCAGGGATCTGGACTGGGATTACATCAAAATTTCTTTGAGGATCTCCCTAGTCGAGACACCGGACTCAGAGTCCTAACCAAGAAAAGACAGAACAAGTCAATCAAAACCTCAGCTATCTGTTGGCAGCAAAATACTGGGCAAATGGAGACTCTAGAAGGGACTGTGTCAGTCAATGGATTCTTCAACGACCACATCGTGCTTGGAGTGGCGAGACTGGTAGCAATCCATAAATGGTGAACTATTGGAACCACTTGATCCAGTATCTCAGAGCATGCCCCACATCCAGGACTTAGGGTGGGTGGGAAACTGGGTGCGGCTTCTTCCTCTATATCCCCCTTTACGTCAGATACATGAAGGAAGCGGTATGGAAGTGATGGTCTTGCCCACTTCCCTGTAGCCCTTGAACCTTTTTTACCCTAATTAAATATGTAAGGATTGTCGAAACATAATAAAACATATATGTATTAAAATTTTTTTTCATTTTGCTGTTTCCTGAATCCAAGTTCAAACACCATGAGAATATTCAATGAATATTTATAATCAATAAAAAAAACAAGTAAAAAAAAGAAAACGAATCTTTGAACATTGTATACTAACATCAAAATATCGATTTAGCTGTAAAGTTGCTTTATCAGCATACACTGTAGAATGGCAACAGGTTGCCAAGTTTATTTTTGAATAGATCTGTGATTAAAGGCAAAGAACTTCCAAAGGAAATTAAAGCATGTTATGAAAATACGTAATAGAACATTGATAGTATGTATGTTTGAAAGATGGCTTTACTGGTTATATTAGGATGTGATTAAGTTGAATTTACTTAACCATTAGATTGTAAAATGGACTGCTGTCACCGCAAATTTTTGGGTTTTTTTTAAAGATTTATTTTCATTTTCATTACAAAATCAGATATACAGAGAGAAAGAGAGACAGATGATTCCATCCGACGATGCACTCCCCAAGTGAGCACCAACGGCCGGTGCTGCGCTGATCCGAAGCCAGGAGCCTGGAGCTCTTCCAGGTCTCATGCGTGCAGGATCCCAAGGCTTTGGGCCGCCCTAGACTACTTTCCCAGGCCACAAACATGGAGCTGAATGGGAAGTGTTGTTGCTGGGAATAGAACCGGTGCCCATATGGGATCCTGGCACGTTCAAGGCGAAGACTTTAGCCACTAGGCCATGGCCCTGGGCCTCCGCAAATTTTTATTTTAAAGTTGGAGTGATATAAAAACATCAACCAATTTAACCATGTGGGAGTTAGAGTGCACAGCAGCTGAGGGCCGGCATTGTGGCATAGTGTAGTGAGTTAAACCACCCCTGCCTGTGACACTGCATCTCACATGGGCCCCGGTTCAAGTCCCGGCTGCTCCACTTTCCAGCCTGCTCTCCGCTAATGTTCCCGCAAGAGCAGCAGAAGGTGGCCCAAGGTCTTGGGTCCTGCACCCACGGGGTGACCAGATGAAGCTCCTGGCTTCAGGGCTGACCAATCTTGACCATTGCAACCTTCTGGGGAATAAACCTTAACTGATAGAAGGTCTCTCCCTATCTTTCTGTAACTCTGCTTCACAAATAAATACATCTTTTTTTGAAGTGCATCAGAACCGACAGGAACGTTTAATTTGTAGAGACCATCATGATGGTATTCGAGGGTTGCGCTTGTTTTAGCTGAAATGAGGAAGCGAGCCCAGTACGGGACGTGCTTTAAAAATGATGTCGCCCCTTGTAGGTTAAATCAAATGCGTGTTTATATAATGAACAGGAGTTATAAAATATTTGCAGCTTCAGTGGTATGTGAAGTAGTGATTTTAATTTCTGGCAGGAAGCTTAATATTTTGCATATTTGTATGTGATTTAAAACATCAATTAACAGTTGAAAAAAAATTTTTTTAAAGATTTATTTATTTTTATTACAAAGTCAGATACACAGAGAGGAGGAGAGACAGAGAGGAAGATCTTCCGTCCGAAGATTCACTCCCCCAAGTGACCGCAACGGCCAGTGCTGCGCAGATCCGAAACTGGGAACCAGGAACCTCTTCTGGGTCTCCCACATGGGTGCAGGGTCCCAAAGCTTTGGGCCGTCCTCGACTGCTTTCCCAGGCCACAAGCAGGGAGCTGGATGGGAAGTGGAGCTGCCGGGATTAGAACCGACGCCCATATGGGATCCTGGCACATTCAAGGCAAGGACTTTAGCTGCTAGGCCACGCTGCTGGGCCCAGCAGTTGAAATTTTGTCTGTTACTATTTAGAAGATTCATCTTAACTTTGTCAGAGCAGTCCATGCCTGAATATTGCTGTGACTCAAGAAAGTTCTCTCTCATTTTTGTTGTTATTATTTTTGAAATTTCATTTCCATCCAGAGTGCTATTGGTCTGTGAAAGGCCTTAGGCCACGTTCTGATTGCATTAAATGTTTTTTTCCCCCTGGGATGCGTTATACTAGGAACGTTCTTCCCCTCTTTGTGACCACAGATTCATTTTTTAAAAATATATTTTTATTGCAAAGTCAGATACAGAGAGGAAGAGAGACAGAGAGGAAAATCTTCCATTGACTGACTCCGCAAGAGGCTGCAGTGGCTGGAACTGCACCAGTCTGAAGCCAGGATCCCGGAACCTGGAGCCTCTTCCAGGTCTCCCATGCGGGGTGCAGGGTCCTAAAACTTTGGGTTGTCTTCCATTGCTTTCCCAGGACACAAGCAGGAAGCTGGATGGAAATTGGGGGCTACAGGGATATGAACAAGCGCCCACATGTGATCCTGGCAAATGCAAGGCAAGGGCTTTAGCTGCTAGGCTACTGCACCAGGCCCCACAGATTCATTTTATCAAAAGATTATACCAAAAAAAAAAAAAATAAGCCACCCACATGCTTATCCAGTGCTCGTTCTTGACCTATCCACATTTCTTTTGGAAACAAAATATATAAACACCTGAACAAATCTATACAACTTATTTTTTTTTGCCTTTAAAATATTTTTTCACTACCAGTAAGTAGTGAAAAATTCATACATAATTGTGTAAGAATATTTTATATGCAATCATTATGAGTGTTTTGAAAATATATAATGAGCGTTCCTTTTAGCTGTTCTACTGTCAGAAAAGACTGAAGGATGCCAGTTAGGCTTTACAGTGTGAAGTACCCCATCTCTGTAGAAGCTGGTGATCTCAGCTCCTTAGAACCTGCTATCCTGCCGAGAAAGCAAAACAGGCCCTTTGATTTGCCGAGAGAATTGTTGCAAATTGCACAAGAGAAACCTTCGATCTTTCTATCAGTGATTTATATACTTTTATCTTAAAATAACTTGATCATTTGGTAAACAGAATAGGAAGGATGAGATTGGGTAATAATTGATAAGTTGTGGTGTCAGCAGCCGTGAGTGAGTCAGACAGAAAGGAAATTCTATAGTAGGCTTTCTCTTAGGTAATATTTTAAAATTATAGTAAGAAATATAATAGTTAACTCACACTGAATAACCCCTCTTTTGTCCCCCCCTATTTTTACATTTTACTGATTCTTTTTCTGGACATGTTGAGTTTTAGTTGAACTTATTAATGTGATATTGACAGAATCTTCATGTGGGTTATACACTGAGAGAGCGTATTTGCAAACATTGACTACAGTGTCTAGTGCAAAGGAGCTGCTCGGCAGTTGTTGGTCATTAGTAGAATCTTTCCAGGATCTGAATCTCAGTAATTGAGTTCACTGAAATTATGCTTTTATAATTTCCTTTGTCCAAAATGTCAAGTTCATACTCATTTATCAGCAGTCTGAAAATTGGAATACTCTGAAAACTTCGAAAGTTTATCACAAGTTCTTTTGGCCAAAAGTCGTATCCAATTGATTGTGTGTTGTCTTTATCCCACTCTGTGCACTATTTGATATTCTGTTGTTTTACGTAGTAATGTACAGATGTCTAATGGAGAGCTGCCTCAGATTGCTAGTGGGATCTTGTTTGTAATCCATACTATCTAACTCAGACCTGAAAAGTTCTGAATTCCAAGTTCAGTCTGGCCCCGCAGTTTTGGGGAAGGGATCGTTAGACCTTTGCTCTCAGTGGATACTTGGCTTGACTTGGAAATTTCTTGTGTTCTAGTGAGGGCACGTTGATTGTGATATTGAATGTTTGATCGTCTCGGAAGTGTTCATTGAGCTAATAAACATGGCCTTTATGTTCTCTTCGTTCCATTTCACAGCAAAATGAAAAGGAGAGCTTGTTGAAGGAAAGGGATCACATTTTGTCCACTCTGGGCGAGACGAAGCAGAACCTCACTGGACTCTGCCAGCAAGTCTGCAAAGAAGCCGCTCTCAGTCAGGAGCAGATACAGATCCTGGCCAAGTACTCCGCCTCGGACTGCCCGCTTTCATTCTTGATTTCTGACAAAGAAAAGAGTACTTCTGATGGTGAACTTGCACTCCCATCCATTTTTATCTTGTCTGATGGGCGCCTAGGTGTGTTGCCTCCCAGCGGGAGAGGAACGGGCGAGCCTGGTGGTGTGCCTGGGCAGGAGGTGCAGCCTGCTCCCGCGGCTGGCCCCGAGCAGGCCCGGCCCGTGCCCGAGGAGCAGTGTCGGCAGAGTGGTGGCATCTCCGATTTCTGCCAGCAGATGACTGACAAGTGTACAACGGACGAGTAAATTTGCATTCGTTTCCTTCAGACCATCCAGTTTTCTATGGACGTTTTGGTGTTGCTTTGAAACCTAGTGTGGCCATCTATCACTTACCAACGTTGGTTTCCACCCTGGGAATTTGTCATAAAGAGATTTCTCTTGCGCCTGAATTCTTCTAGATTTCCATGGGAATGGAGACACAGAAACGATTTGTCTCTTGAGTACTGACAAATCACATGTGAAAATGTACGCTTTTTGAAAACTCTATTTTAAAAACAAGTAACTATTATTAACAGCTCCTCCCAGTATTTTTTTAAAAAGTCAGCAATATAAAAGCTGGAAACTTCTTCCGATTCTGTCAAAGAAGTGGCTCATAGAGGTTTAAAAACTTGACCTGTTCACAGTATGCTGATTTAACAGAAAGTTTCGTCCTGAGCCATGCGGATAGAGTTCTGTTGTATTAGGAAATGTCGGTCAGCTTGGTGGATGGACGTGTTTGCACAGAGCTGCAGTTTTGTTTTAATCCTTGAGCTTTGCTCTTCAGCTCTACAGGGAGAGCTTTCCTAGACTTCTTTGTGATCCTGGAAGGTGTCAGAAGCAGAGCTGGCCTGGAGGCAGGGCTTCTGCTCCTTCTCCATTTCAGCTGTCCAGTTACTGGCTGCGAAATGATACATAAGTGTCACGCCCCCACCAACCTTTTTTTTTTTTCCTTTGTATAGTCTCTGCTGTATTTAAACCCATGATGGAATTTCCTTTCCTGTTAGTGGAGACTCCGGTTGGAGTTGCTTGTGTGGACATGCTGGTAGCCCTCTGTGGCCTTGCTGGCATTTGGGGGTGCTTTCCAGTGGACAGGTCTGTTTCCATTCCCAACATAGATTTCCAGTGCCAGAAAAACTGGGCATCCAAAAGAGAGAAATTAAAGACATTTACTAGGAATTCCTTTAGTTTTTCATCCTGCTTTTTAAATCCTGTGGTTTACTTTTGAAAAACATTTGTAGTTAAAATTGTGTCTGTAATAGCTCTGCCGGTTTGTGAGAAATTGATAAATTCAATCTTCTTGCACTATGAATTTGCATTTAGAATCCAGGTTCAGTCCTTACTCTTTTTTCAAGTTTGATGTGGCAAAGAGATGCAAAATCAGCTTTTCTGTCTTATCTAGTCTTGTTATGAAATATATTCTGATCACCCAGCTTGTAACAGTCTGCAGTAATTGATAGCTATTGTGGAAACACAGACTTCCTCAAGAGTCAGGTGATAACGATGGATCTTCTCAGCAATTAAAAATAAACTTCTTGTATGAGTTGAGTTTCTCTAACCTGAGAAATCTTTGAAATGTTCCAAAATTCAAAACTGAGTGTTGACATGAGACCCCAAGCAGAATGCTCGCAGTTGACCTCGTTGTGATGGGTTGCTGGCAAACTGCAGGTGCACAAGAAACATTGTCTAAAGGCCATGTGGACAGTATCTGTAACATAAATGGACTCCCTCCTCAAGATAGCATATATGATATATTTGCAAATTTTGCAAACCCTAAGACACTTTTTGGTTCCGGCCGTTTCAGAAAGGGCTACTCAGCCTGTATTCACACTTAATAGAGGCGTTCGCAGAATCTAGTTTTAAAGTGTACAGGAGAGTCCACCTCTGTGCTCTTGGCCAGAAAGCACTGGATTTCTCCAAGACCATGCACCTGAGACAGAGAGATCACTATAGACTACATGCTGTGTCTAGTGAGAGCCTGGGTGGCTAACCTGGAGACCACCAACTACCTTATATGAATGAGCTAGAAGCAAGTTGATCTTCGCTGTGAGAATGCATGGGGACCACTCTTGGTATTTGAGAATAATTTGTCAATTGTTACCCTTTTTCATCAAAGTGTAGGTGTGAAAGATACTGCTTGTATCTTCAGTGGTTTGTATATTATCTCTTACGGACTTGGTCGTAACAGAAGATTCATTGGGATTGTCTCCTGGAGCATGTCAAAAGTACCCTCAGTTTTTCAGGGAGAATATTTCTGTGATAATGTATCCCGTTCTCCAAAACAATGATAAATATCTGTATCCAGAACTAGGTCTAGATATCCTCATTAACTGTTTCTTCTATGATAGTTTGAAATTTCAAGCATAATATAAGAGAACATGGAACTTTCCTGGTTTACATAATGTAAAATCTTGTTCCAAGCCAGTGGAACCCTTGATTTCCTACCTCAGCTGTCTGTCATATCAGTTTATGTATTTGAAAATGTCAGATCACCTTTTCCTAATTTTTAATCGCTACTGTAAATATTTGCTTTGAAACATGGTTACCTAGTATGTCATGATAAAACAGCTGTCTCTGGAGTTTAAATTTAATTTTTATGACACTTGGTTTCCATTTCTCTATACTATAAACAGTTTAGCATTAAGGGTTTATTTTAATGTTGTCTAATTAGTGGCCATGTGTAATATTTCTTAACATTTAGCATTACTTTTAATAGCCAGCATGTAATACAAGTACCTACACTACCTCATACTTAAATGATTTTCAAGGTGTAATATAGATGGACAGATAAAAAATATTTTATCTTTGTCTTTTGGCCACAAAGTGGGGAAGTTTTCTATATATTGCATAGCATTACACATTCATGCCTATTTTAACATTAACTTCTACAGAAGTTTTTTTCTAAGAAAATTTAACTCAAGGCACTATTATTTCTTCTTTCTTTTTTTTTTTTTTTGAGGCTGCCGAAGACAAATGACAGGATTATGTGTATACAGCGTATGCCTTTTTCCTTCATGCAGAATCTTAGAAGTATTGTTTTCAGTTTGTTCGTTGTGTATTTACATGATCATTGTTCCTTTATGAACCGAGTCCTCTTCTCAGTGCTTGCAGATTTTTAAAAAGCTGTTGTCTGACTCAATAAAAACAGTATCTTAAAATTGCTTCCCTTATTTGAATTCTATAGCTATGGCAAATGATTTGTTAAATTATTATATTGAAAACAAATGTGGATGCAATCTTGGTTCTCTGTCTATAAGTTTCATAACAAGTTACTGCAGCTTAATGCTTATCCAGTTTTAAATAAGGAATGATATTTGATCCTGCAGATGACACAGGCTTGCATGTGGACACAGCCACGTTAGCAACTTGGGAAAAAAACCCAACAACATGGCAATGTTAAAATGAATTCTCAGGTGAAATGTTTTTCATTAATGAAACATCTATTTTGACTTTGTAAATATTTTAAATGTTTTGTTAAGGCATGTAATAAACTATTCTTGAAACCTATTAGGTAGAATGAAAATTTAAAGCCATGATGGTAAAAGTAAAAAAAAAAAATGGCATAGTGATTGTAAAATAAATAAATAATGACATTGATTTTTTTGTATCTTTCCTAATTATCTTTCCTAATACAGTTTTCTAACAATGCAATAAAACCACTAAACTTGTGTATTAAAATCCTAGTAAGACCCTGTTTCATTAAAAATATACTTTCATAGTATTTAATTTATACTTTCTTCGTAATTCGCGTACCCAAATGTTTCAGAACTGTTAGATGTTGGTGATAAATTGACAGCCAAATAAAATTCTTCTAAAATTAGTACTAATTAAATGGAGTTGAATATTCCATGTCCATATTCTCACAACCCACACCGATTTGCTGACTTTGGTCTTTGGATCAGTACTGAGTCTGTAGCTCTGCTAGGAGAAAATCTTTCATTGGCTGTTAATCCTGCCTGGCCAAAAAAAAAAATATTCACAGTGCTTCAGTTTTCTTTTCGCTGGCATAGAGTTCCTTTAGTCATGCTTGTGGTGTGACTTCCTCTCAGTCTTTGCATAAAGATATGTGGGATAGTAGAGGATTATCTGTCAGTCATTTTCTTTCTTCTTTTTTTTTTTTTAAGATTTATTTATTTTTATTGGAAAGTCAGATTTATGGAGAGAAGGAGGGAAAGAAAGATCTTCTATCTCCTGGTTCATTCTTCAAGTGTCCTCAACAGCCAGAGCTGAGCCCATCTGAAACCAGGAGCCAGGAGCCTCTTCTGGGTCTCAAATGCGAATGCAAGGTCCCAAGGCAGGCCATAAGCAAGGAGCAGGAAGAGAAATGGAGCTTCCAGGAGACTTACTGCATCCATATGGCGTCCTGGCACGTGCAAGGCGAGGCCTTTAGCCACTTGGCTACTGTGCTGGGCCCAGTCATTAATTTTTAAAGATTGATCTGTATTCATTTTCTCAGGCCCTTGTAATCAGGCTTGGCACAGCAGTCCAGCCCTGCACTGACAGTCTTCCAGGGCAGAGCATCTGGTCTAGTGGTAGAGATTCTTCGCTGAGGACAATTCTCCCTGATTGACATCTGGCAATTCCCAGATGCCCCATAAGTAGCAAGGGTGAGATGAAGGACATGGCATCCATTGTCAGACCAGGGATGCTACCGAACAGCCTACAGCACACAGCACGGCCCTAACAAAGATCAGCTCACCTGAGGTGTCGGTCATGCCTGCAGATCAGTGGTGGCATCGAGGTGAAATGTGAGATGTCATATCTGAATTCGGAGGAGGTGAGGCAAAGAAATAGCAAAGATTGTCACCCTAGCTGGGAGAAGGCTCCTGTCTGGGAAGAAATGAGCTTGCATGAAGAAGCTTGCCTTGGTGTGGAGGGGCCTGAGCTGTGTGAGGGAGGGCCGTCCTCAGTGCCCTTCTGTGTGTCCCAGGATGTTGCACACTGGCCTGCAGGTATAATTATTAGGTTATTTCAAAGCATTTTGAGAAAAATGGAATCAAAGGTGTTTATTTTGGCTCAGACTCTTGAAATTAATGCCTAGTTTTTTCGTAATATGCATTTGGAAGACCCCTTGTTAACATGAATTTTGTTTTCTTCGAAGTAAACTAGTCTTTCAATTCTGCTTTCCACGAACTTATGAAGTACCTTACCTTTTTTTTTTTTTTTTTTTTTTTTGCTGTCTCAGGGTTTCTGAAGCTTTTTATAAATCCTGGATATTAGTCCCCTGTCACTTTCGTCGTATGCAAAGGTTTTCTCCCATTCTGTTGGTTCACTTTGTTGATTGTTTCCTTTGCTGTGCAGAAGCTTCTTATTTTGATGTAGTCCCATTTACTCGTTTTGGCTTTGACTGCCTGTGCTTTGGCTGTTCTTTTCTAAGAAGTCTTTCCCTGTTCCTATATCTTGGAGTGTGCTTCCTATGTTTTCCTCTTATAGTTTGATGGTTTCTGGGTGTAGACTTAGGTCCTTAATCCATTTAGAGGTGATTTTCGTATAATGTGACAGGTGCAGGTCTTAGCTCTTAATTCTGCACACTGCTATCCAGTTGGCCAACAGCATTTGTTGAATAGACCAGGATTTTCGCCTGGGTTGTTCGCAGTTTTCTTGTCAAAGATTAGCTGACTTTACATGTGTTGGCTCCCTTCTGGCGTTTCTATTCTGTTCCATTGATCTTCTCTGTTTCTGTACCAGTATGTAATATGCAGTTAGAAGTACTGCTCTGTAGCATGTAGTTAGAAGTACTTAACATTGGTGACCAAAGGCCAGGCAAACAGATTCAAGGACAGACTTGTTCATTAGTATTTATTCAGGTTTCCTGGAGAGGCTAATAGCAACACCCTTCCCTGAATAGAGTTTTTGAGATGAAAAGCCAGAGGATATAGTTCCCTTTGCTGATGCAGGCCAGGTGAAAACCATGGCCTTCTTGCAAGAGAAGGAGTGAAGTTGACCTACCCTCACCCAAGCAGCACAGCCTGTTGAAGAGGAGGAAGCTACACTGGGAATAGCTGAGTTACGTGCAAATGTATTCATCAGGGTAGAAGCCACCCCTCCCCACCGAGCTCCCGAGGCACGGTGGGACACAGAGGCCAGGAGGATGTCCAGGGAAAATCCTGTTCTTGCAGACATTACTGGCCGAGCCCTGACTGCTCACTTGGGAGAGAAGGTAGCAGTTTCCAAAGGCAGATCTGTGCTCGCCTGTGTGCGATTACTTCCTGCGATCCAACCCCCCGGGTCTGTAATCTGTGGGCTCATCAGTTTATTATTATTATTATTATTTTCCTTTTGGAAAGGCAGATACATATAGAGGAGGAGAGACAGGAAGATCTTCTGTCCAATGATTCACTCCCCAAGTGACCACAATGGCTAGAGCTCAGCCAGTCTGAAGCCAGGAGCCCAGATCTTCTTCCAGGTTTCCCACGTGGGTACAGGGTCCCAGGCTTTGGCTGTCCTCTACTGCTGCTATAGGCAGGGAGCTGAATGGGAAGCGGGGCTCGTATGGAATCCCGTCATGTGCAAGGTGTGGACTTTGGCTACTAGGATAACACACCGGGCCGCCTCTCAGCAGTTTTAATAATGGATCTGGGCCTGGCGTGGTAACCTAGTGGCTAAAGTCCTCATCTTGCATCCTCTGGGATCCCATATGGGCACTGGGTTGTATTATGACTATTCTACTTCCCTTCCAGTTACCTGCTTATGGCCTGGGAAAGCAGTTGAGCATGGCCCAAAGCCTTGGGACCCTGCACCCGTGTGGGAGACCTGGAAGAAGCTCCTGGCTCCTGGCTTCGGAATGGATCAACACCGACTGTTGCAGCTACTTGTGGTGTGAAACAGCAGATGGAAGATCTTTCTCTCTGTCTCTCCTTCTCTCTGTAAATCTTTCAAATAAAAATAAATCTTAAATATATATATATATATATTTTAAAATGGATCCAACATGGGTTCTCAATGATAGTCAAGCAGCTGAAAATCGGTGCCTTGCATGTACCTGGATCCCATGTAGGCGCTGGTTCATGTCCCGCTTGTTTCACTTCCCATCCAGCTTCCTGCTGATGGCCTGGGAAAGCAGTTAACAGCCCAAAGCCTTGCAGCTCTGCACCCACATGGGAGACCTGGAAGAAGCTCCTGGCTGTGGATGAGCTCAGCTGTGACCATTGCAGCCCCTTGGGGAGTGAACCAGTGGAAAGAGTTTTCTGTATCTCCTCTCTGTAAATCTTCCTGTCTGAGAAAAGTAAATAAAATCTTAAAAAAAAAAATCCAGCAATGTACCAGCTGGTAAATGCAAAGGCTACTCTGTACCAGACAGAATTAATTTTAAATTTTAGATGGAATTAATTCCTTACTGTATTTTCCATCTTGAATCCCCCTCCTGTCTTTTTTTTTTTTTTTTTTTACTGCAAAATGACAGAGGTACTGTCTTCAGGTTAAATTGTAACACAGGAAATTCCTGTAAGATAATGCATGAAGAGCAGCCTAGCTGTAAAATGCACATATCCAGTGATACACATAGTTTAACTAGAAATCCTCCCCTACTCAACTTTTAGGAAAAAAAGCTCAAATTGAAATTAAGCATCTAATTCAACAGGGACTAACAAAATTAAATTATCGTGCACAAATATAGCATGAAAAGTGGATCCCAAGTTTGCCAAGTTTCTCAATCAGATCAACTTTGATCAGAGAACTTCTATTTTCTGGAGTGGGGTTGAAGTTATTTATTTTTAAAAATGAATTGATAACTGACTTTTTAACATTTTATTTTATTTTTGTTGGAAAGTCAGATACACAAAGAGGAGAGACAGGGAAGAACATCTTCTGTACACCCGTTTATTCCCCAAGTGTCCGTTTCAGCTAGAGCTGTGCTGATCTAGAGCCAGAAGCCTCTTCCAGGTCCCCACGCACGTGTAAGGTCCCAAGGCTTTGGACCATTCTGGACTGCTTTCCCAGGCCACAGCAGGGAGCTGGGTGGGAAGCTGGGCCCATATGGGATCCTGGTGCATGCAAGGTAAGGACTTAAGTCACTAGGCTATTGCACTGGGCCGCTGTCTTTCTTTTTTTTTTTTTTATTTTAAAAAAGATTGATGTGTGGAGCGGGGTGCTAAAGTCGCTCCTGGGATTGAGAAGCGCCATTGTAAGATGGCGGCTGGCCCAGGGCCAGGGGGCGGAG